CATCAGCACTCACTCCCTATTGACCAGGCTCTTTTCTCTCGCCTTTTTTTTTTCTACGTGAGGGGGGGGATGGGAGGAGGGAGGAGAGGTGGGCAGAAATATGATGTCACAGCAAAACTTACAACGGGAGGAAAACACAGACATGGTTCAACTTTTTTTTTTTTTGAAGAAAAACTTTGGCCTGCCAGGAGCTGGAGAGTGGTGAGCTAAGGAATGAGAAAGAGAGAGGGAGACTGAGCGGGAGGCTGGAGATCTGTCCGGCTGCTTGAAACCTTATGAATGGATTACTAGCAGCAACAGCCCAGATCGCGATCTCTAATAAAAGGCAAGGGCAGTGTAGGTGATGCGAGTTCTCTCCCGGTTTTAAAGGGAGACCAAAGTGGGGACGTTATTCCTCCTCGTGCAATGAATGGTATGAAGCCTTCCTTCGGGGAGGAGGGAGGGGAAAGAGCAGATCATTATTCTTCCTTTCACCTGGGTCTCTCTCTTTCCCCGCGTCTTGCTTCCCTCTCCTTTCCCCACCCGGGCACTCTTCCCCACGTGTTGAGTATGCTCCGTCCGCGTCTCCCTCTCTGTCCCCCGGGTATGCTTTTTACCCCCCGCAGCAGCAGCTGCCACCTCTAAGGGGCAAGAAGGGGTGGGCGGGGGGACACCAGGAGACTGGTCCAAGATGAGATGGGAGCAAGCAGAGAGCAACAGGGGACCGACCGTCCTCAGCGCTGACCGCGGCGGGCTGGCCCGGGGTGCCTGCCACACTCGGGGGAGCAAATGTTAAGGCTCTTCTGGAGACCGCCCCCTCCCCTGAACAATGTGTTTTCCTTCGGGCGGCGGACGCGTTTCTAGGCAAGGCTAAAGACAATCCCCCCACCCCAGATGAACCAGGCAGCGGGATGCTGAAGTAGCTGCTCTCGGGGAGGCACCGCTCCGAGGGGCTGGGGAGAGGGAGCGCGCTGCTCCGCGATGCTACCTGTAGCGCTCGGTGAGCTCGCAGCAGGGGAGCCTCGCCCGCCCC